TTTTGACTGAATTAAGAGCTATTCCAAGAAATATTAATCACACCTAGAACTTAACATTTACTTAATTATTTTTATTTATGCATGGCCACCCTCAATTGTGCTTATTTAGAATGCAAATAGAGAAAAAAAAAACCAAAGCAACCACACCGAAGTAATGAATAGCTCATGTCTTTTGGGAAAACTCCTTTCTGCTAGCTTCCTCTGATCCATGGGACACTTGAGAGGAAGAGAAGCGTGTCCATGTGGTATCCTTTTCAATTACTCAAGTTTTTAAATGGTTTGGGACTTGAGGATGTGCACGGCCTGCCAGAGTGTCCCATGAAAGATGTGTTTGTTTGCACTGATACCAGTGGATCCCAGTAGGATGAATGAGGAGAGAACTCAAAGGAAACAGGATTTGCAGGTGCCTTGCAGAGGTACATGTGACTGGGAGCAACACAGAGGGGAACACACCTGCTTGTGCCTGGGGTTGCTGCTGAAGGATCCCCCAGGAATCCTCAAAAGCTCCAAAAGTCTTTGGGAGCAGTAATGAGACTGGATTCTCCACCCATATTACATGGTTTGCATTTCCTGAATGTGACTAGAAATGGTTTGCATTATACGATGGCCCATGCTTTGTATATCCCTAAAACACACACAGTGCACCAAAAGGGTGTGTGAGCAGTAAAAGCCAGCAGCAGTGGAACTCCAAAACCGTTCATGAAAATCCCATCCCATGTTACCCTGAGCTAGAAATAAGTTCATTAATTTGGGGTGGGATTTGTTCTACTTAAATTAGCCATCTAAAGGTTAGTTGGTGAGGGCTGAGCTAGTCACTTTGGGATCCTCAGCCTCAGTGGAAAGCCATGCACACTTCCCCAGAGGCATGATGAATTACAGAAACACAGTGAAGCTTTTTTCCAGAGCACCCTTCCAACAATGTGCACTTAAGGAACTTCTGAGCCAGCGTTTTCAGCTTTGTCTTAAAACCTTTCCAGGGATCCACTACAGACCTCTTTCTTCTGTTAAAACTGACCACTTTCTCCTACACTGTCTTTCCTTGCTTTCACTGTGCTATTTACCCTCGTGAAGACCTTTCTTCTGATCCCAAAAGGGCTTACTTCTTTGAGAACCTGTTAATTTTTTTGGAAAGCCATGTGGTCTATCACAACCTTTTTCCACACTAACCGATCATTTCAAGGGCTTCCAGGCAGCTTGTAAGGTGTGACTTCCCTCCAGAAGCTAAGCCAACACTTCCATAGGTTTCCACTAATATATAATTTATTATTGCTTCTATCATTTTTTCAAGTCCAAACTGATCAGCAGTTTCCCAGCACTTACCATTACCTTTTAAGAAAAACCTTGTGTTATGTTAGACACTTTTCAATCCTTTCATGTTTACATGAGATGACTCCAGGTAGCAGCTCAGCTACTTCACTCTTCAGTTCCTGCAGCAGCCTTTGGTGACCACTGCCTACTCCTCATTACCTTGTTTTGTTGATTTGGTCTATAAAGCTTCGTATCAGCATTGCTAGAAGCGAAGCTACACCCCCCTTTTCTGGTCACCAAATGTGGAGTTGCTAAATATTTGCAGTATTTACAAGCCTATTTTTTTCATCCTCATTTTGAACCGACTTCTTTCCTGTCTTATACTTTGATCATAGGCTTTTAAATCCAGAGATATTTCTTTACCATATGAACTCATCACCCTTAGAAATAGCCCAGACAGTGCAAACTCTTCCATAGGTCCCTACATCCACATTACTCTGCCAATATGAGGACTTGGAAAAGCCATGATCAAGCCCCAAAAAGGGGAAAAAAAAAAAAAAAGTGTTGGATATTTTTCTAAATGCTGGAAAGACCATTGTGACCCCCAACAAAAAGCTTCAAGTCAGCTTTTCCTGTCAGGACAGAGCTATCATCACTCTGGCTGCCTCCTCCCGGAGCAACAAAAAACATTGTAGATGCTGACAGGGCCTGATTTACGGTTTGGGGTTCTTACTCATATTCAATCATCCAAGTGCTAAGAACACATCTATTAACTTTCTCGTACTTACTCATCCAAGATGCCAGCTAAGTTACGCAATGCACCTTCATCACTCTTT